ATGTGTGAAAAAATCCTTTGGGCTCAATCTGCTGTGTGGTGTCGTGGGACTGCCAGGGCATGAGCTTCGGTCTAGCTCTGAGTACCTCCCTGCAGTGGGCCCACTGACAGCCCTCGGGGCCTCTGAGGACCGGCCCAGAATGGCAGGAAGAATCCAAAGGACAAAAAAGTGTGGCTGTTGTACTGAAGAGGGGGTCACCGTGGGAAATACAGCAACATCTTTCAAGTGTGCGGAGGGCCTAGTTAAGAGGGTGAATACCCAGGCATTGTGTGACTTCCAGCGGTTTTCTAAGCCCAAGGTCCTGTGGATTTTATCCTAATACCAAAAAGAAAGACAAAGAGATCAGGGCACAGAGAGAGATAAGGAAGATGAAGTTGGATTATAATTGCCTGTATGAACTTTACTTACTAACTCATAGTAGCCTTTTTATGTATAATGTACATGCAGGGACGGACACGTCATAGGTGGACACTCTGCCCTTTTGCAAAGGGGAACCTCTGTGTAACCACCACTACATCACAGGAAAGACCTCACCAGAGTTCCAGAAGCCCCCTCGGGCCCCTCCCAGGCATTCCCACTGCCAAGGAAACTACTGCCCTGGATTCCATGCCGTGGATTCATTTTGCCTGTTTTCAAACGTGGTATATAAAGGGGAATGTGCAAAATGCTCTCGAGTGTAGTGGCAGCAGCACTCTGGTGGGCCCTTTCAAGTCGACATGGGAGATGGCTCCCTTGCGTTGCCAAGTTGCAGAGCCTGTATGGATCTGTGGCTGGCTATATCCCACCATCTTCCTGGACACACCATGTGTCCACACTCATAAGTGCCCCATCGTCTGTGAGGATAACCAGGCCCACCATCAAGGAGGTCCCCCTAACCTCTGAGCCGAGGCCCCACTTCTTCCTGCCTGGGTAGCACTTGCTCAGGCAAGACAGAACCCCACGGGGAGGACTGAGGAGCAGGTGACTGAGTGGCCTGAGAGGTGATGTGGACAGCCTGCAGAAAGCAACCAGGCAGACGCCCTGAGGCAGGGTGTTGGGCAGCATTTCCACAGCGGAACAGGCCACTGTTGTTGCTTCCTGAGCTGCCCGAGAGACATGGAAAAGGCCGCTCACGCCTTTGGCCAGATGCCTGATGGCCTTTTAGGGTAGTTCAGCCTTGGCAGGGTCTGGTTCCCCTTGGAAGCAATGTAGACGAGGGGCGCCAGAGGGGGCTACGCTGACCACAGTGATTGCTCCGCCATCCTCACAGCCCACGCTGGCCTTCCTCCCCAGGCTCCTGCGGGGTGCCCACTGGGACGTCCGTTGCAGAAGCTGGAAGGAGGACTGGAGGCTGAGGAGCAGAGCACCTGTGTTCCTCTTCCTGAGACTGCTGTGGGTTTGGAAAAGTCATTTCCAAACTTCCCAGCATTTCAGACTCCTCTGAATCCAGTGTCCTGGTGTTACAGAGGCCCGAGGGGGGCAGGGCGGATGCAGAGGCCTGGCCTGATAGCGCCTGTTGCCTTATAAGCAGTGTCTGGGATGACTCCAGTGGCTTCTGCAGCCTTTGCCTGCTGGGTCTGGTTTGAGTTCCGGGGCGGCCTCCCTGAGTGGTGCAGTTTCTGGGGAGAAAGAACCCATGGCCAACCTCCCTCAGGCCTCCAGGTCCCTGCTGTGCACACACACACACACCCCGCCCCCCCAACCCTGGGGTTGCCCCTGCACAGTTTGGGTGATATTTAAAGTGAGTCTTTGCTTTTTCTCCTCTGCAGAATATGTTGTCAGAAAAAAATTTAAAAGCAGCCCTGCCCTCTCTCCCTGTGTCCCAGTGGGAACCGAGAGAGCAGGGGACTATGTTTAAAAAGCCGGGAAGGACATCAGGATGAAAGGCAGCGGGCAGGCTGGACACAGAGGGGGAACACACCACTCTCAGATGTGGGTTTCTTTTCATCCATTCACCCCCTCCGTGCTTTTTCTGGTGCTTTTCTTCGTTTCTGGACGACAGCCCTGTCCTGACCCACCCAGCCCTCCTCTTCCTTTCTGGAACCACCCCCAACTCTGCTTTGCCGTCCTGCCAGCACCCCCACCCCCAGGTCGGCCCCTCCCTGCTCGCTGCGGGTAAAATTGCTCCCGCGCAGGCCTCAAGTTTGGGATTAATGAAGCCCAGATGCTGGACTTCTAACTGACTGCAAGTTCGCTTTGGAGTAGCAGCACAAAGGGGCCATTTACCTCCCACTGTGTTCCCGGCCCAGCTGCTGTTGGGGCTCCTGTGGAACAGCTGGAGAGCAGGTCCTAGCTGACAATGAGATAGAGGCCATGTGGGGTATGTGATGTGGCCAGGGCCCAGCAAGAAACTGGCGGGGGAGGGGAGCCTCTGGGTGAGGAGCTGGGGCCTGGCTACACCCCCCAGGGGTCTGGTTGTAGGGGATGTGGAGATGAGAGGCTCCTGTTTTCTATCCTACAGTGTAGTCCAGGTGGAGGCTGCCTCTCATGGGGAGTCTGTTTGGGTTTGTTTTGTTTTGTTTTTTTGTGGGACCCTCACTGGTGGCCGGGGAACGAACCAGCGCTGCAGTGGCTACAGACAACCTCGCAGCCCAGAGCTCAACCGCTGCGCCACCAGAGGAGGCCCTCATGGGGAGTCTGGAAGGCTGGGTGGGAAACACCAAGGTGCTCTGTAGACAGGGATCAAGGCCAAAGGGAGACAAGGTCAGAGTAGACCCCATGCTGGTTAATATCAGAGCTCCGCTGTCATGTGTGGATAGAGATGCTGGTCTTGCCTGGAGTTGCCATATATAAAATACAAGTATTGCATGGAATAGACCTGGACTAAAAAATATTAATTCTTTGTTTATAAGAAATCACTTTTAACGGGGCATCGTATTATTTTCACTGGCTAAATCTGTCAATCCTAAATAACACCCCCGCCCACTGAATTTCTTCTTTAAGTAATATTTTTATTGAACTGCAACACACAACAGAACAGAATGCAAACCATAAATGTAGAGCTCAGCCGATTTCCACAAGCCAAACACATGTGAAGCCATCATCCAGATAAGAAATGAAACAAGACCAGAAGCTACTTCCCCAAGCATCGTCAGTATCTGACTTCCAGCAGCTGGGGTTGGCCCGCTTTATACTGGAATTAAACTAACTCATACACATCTTTTGTATCTGCTTTATTCTACCCAACACTGTGAAGATCATCCATGCCTGGAACATTGACTGTAACGTTAGCTCATTCATCGTTGTTCTGTGTAGGATTGAGTTGGATGCATGAGCCCAGTCTGTTTCTCCATTCTGATGGGATGTCAGGACTGTACTTCTACCTAAACAGTTTTGTACTTACCTATCTAGGAGCAGGATTGCTGGGTCATGGCATAAGGGTCTGTATATTTGTAGTAGATCTTGTCAGTTTCCCAACGTGAAGGTACCAATTTATTTCCCCCCAGCCATGCTGTGAGCACCTCATTTCCCTGCACCACCAGCACTGGTGTTTCTCTTTTTTCATGTCCATCCTTCTGGTGTGTGGTGATGCTGCCTGCTGCTACTCTTTCTCTTTTGAATCAGGAGCACCTTGCTTTGTTGAGTCCTCTGACTTGCTTGACTAAGTTATCTAAGAAAAAAAATAATAAAAAGCGGGGCCTCCCTGGTGGCGCAAGGGGTTAAGAGGCAGCACTATGAAGCTATCCGCAGGCACTGCAGCACAAGTTCAATCCCCAGCCAGGGAGGTGACCCACATGGCGCAGCAGACCTCTCCTGTCTCGCCTGCTGCTCCCCTCAGCAGTGTATTTCAGTCAGTCTGCCTGTTCTGCTCCACACTCTGTCTCTGGTGAATCCTCTCACCCCCGCATCTCTGGCCTGCACCCCAGCTCTTGTATGCATAAATAAATAAATCTTTTAAAAAAAAAAAGAAAAAGAAAAAAGAAAAAGCAAGATCCCTAGTTCAGATCCCAGCCTGTCCAGAGCTCTGAGGAGGCCATTCCCTCCTCAATTTGCCCATCACACTGAAGTTCTCCCCCCAAGTGAGGTGTGGACAGCAACTGGGCCCTGGGAAGTTATGATGGTTCAGTCCTGCCTCCCCAGGTACTTCCTTAGGGAGGCATCATTTCCCGATATCTGGTTCTTCAGTTCCTGTGTGTCATGCTAGCGGTGCAGGTGAGGGCATCTGTGGGGTTCCCCCCAGCAGTGTTGTTACCTGAGGGTATTTCTCCTCTAAGAATTTGGTTTCAGCCCTCTCCTTGGCTTTCTGCAGGAGCTAGGGACCGTAGGCCCAACGCCCAGTGCTGGTGGTGCAGCCAAGCCCATGCTAGGGGCTGACATCTGCTGCCCTAGGGGGACAATAAGTATGGAGAAGTGCAGGGAAGATGCCACTCCTCGGTGGAGCGAACTATGGCAGAGGAGCTGGCAGAAAGGGGCTTATCCTGCAGCCCTGTCTCACCTGTCTCACTGTGTCCTCGTCTCCTCTTCCCATTGCCCCTCTTGGTCTCTCCCAGCCACTGCCACCCATGGCCCCGTCCTCTGGCCTTCACTTGCTTCCTCTCTTCTTTTTTTTTAAAAAAAGATTTATTTATTTATGCAGACAAGAGCTGGGGTGTAGGCCAGAGGCGCAGGAGGTGAGAGGATTCATCAGAGACAGTGTGGGGAGAAGAACAGGCAGACTGACAAATACACTGCTGAGGGGAGCAGCAAGCGAGTCAGGAGAGGTCTGCTGTGCCATGTGGGTAGCTGCCTGGCTGGAAATCAAATTCGTGTTGCAACTTCATAGTGCTGAGACTCAACCCTTTGCACCATCAGGGAGGTCCTCTTTTTTTTCTTTTTGTGAACTTTCCCATCATGCATGTTTTATTACTTCTAAAAGAAATCATAAATGCTATAAACCCAAAGAAGCCCCTTGCCAAGGTACCCTAGACAGAGCGTAGCTGCCCCAGTCACTGTGCCCTGCCCCCACACGGCCTCCTGACTTCAAACTAGCCTTCCTCTGAGGATGTCACAGCCTTCAGTCTCTCTCATGCCTTGTCTCACAGGCAGCTTCGAGGTCAGCTCAGCCTGGTGATCATCGCCCGGATGCTGAACCAGCAAGAGATGCTCTCTCTGTGGGAAGGCAAGGCCCAGGTGAGTCGTTGCCTCAGCAGCATCTGTTGTTTGGCTGGGGACGCCTCCAGGTGAGCAAAGGATCTTCCTGCCACCTGTTCACCCCAGTGCTTTTCCCAAAGTCTAGGGTCCCTGGGACTGTAGAGCTGAGTTTGAATTTCTTACTCATATTCTTTCAGTGGACAGTCACTCCTTGTGTGCCTGCTAAGTGCTAGGCACTGAGGATAGACAGTGAGCTGGGAACTTGTATTACTTCTTTTGAATTATGGTAAAACATACATAAAAGATCATTTGTTATTTTAACCTTTGTGGGGGACATTTTATCCTTTTAAAGTGTAGCATTCTAGCCATTTTTGAGGGTTCAATTCAGCAGCCTTAAGTCTCCCCAAAATGGAGAAGAATTGTAGTGTTTAACTGAACCTGCTGGCTTAGCAACACGAGGGGCAAGGCAGAGGGCTGTGCTTCTCTAGCCATTGGCAGGGTACAAGACCAACTGTGCGGGCCCCTTGCCCGGGGCACTGGGAGGATGTCCCGGCACATCCTGGGGCAGGTAGACAACATGACTGAGTCTGAGATGCTGTAATTGCAAGGTGGGCTCGGGAGGCGACCTATTGGATGGGCTTGTCAGATGGGCCCAGCTTGGCTTTTGCCCAGGCAGGATCCTCCCTTTGCCTTAAGTGCTTTCCTTCAGGCTTTAACAGGAATGGAGTTTCTTGTCATACCAATTCCAACTGAAATGTTACCTCCTCGGGGCAACCTTTCCTGACTACCCAGCCCAAAGTGCCCGCTGGGCACCATCACCTTCTTTCCAATCACTGGTGATGTTTACCTCCTGATATTTTCTTTTTATTATTATTAATTTATTTTTTATTTACGTCTTTTATATCATTGTTTATTCCCCATTCCTCCTGATAGTTTCATTTGTTCAGGGTCTTTCCATACTCGTGCATACACACACACACACACACACACACACACACACACTTTGAGCAGCTCCTTGGGAACAGAGACCAAATGGTTTCTGCTCACTGCTGCCCAGTGGCACCTCACACAGTGCCTGGCTCACCCAGGAACTCAACCCACACTGTGGACCCCAGGTTGATGGCTCAAGTGGCTGGGGGTTGAGGTGGGTGAGTTGGTTCCCCAAGCAGAGACGTTAGGAAGGGCAGGTAAGGGAGTGACCTGCACCCAAGTCATGTCACAGAGGTAAAAGCCTGATGGAGAGCATCTCTGTGAGGAAAGAAGTTGGAAGGGCCAGACTTATGTGTAGGGGAGGTGGGGAGGAGAGAGGAGGCGGGGCTGCAGCCAGAGGGCAAGAAAGAGCGCCGTCGAGGGCTCCAGAGGACATTAGCATTGGTCAGAAGAGGGTCACCAAGCCCCTTGGAGAACAGTGCACAGTCTCCCTTGCACCATTACCCAACTTAAATTATCCATTGTGTTCACCTTCCGATATTTGACGTCAGAGCAACAAGATCAGAGAAGGCGGGATGCGGACTCCAGATGAGGGTAGCTGGCCATGAGCGGGAACTGTGTTGCGCAGGGGCCAGAAAAACAGAGGATTTCTTAATTGTCTGCGTCAATTCAAGGCTTGGGATTTTATTTTGCTGTGTTTTTTATTGGCCAGAGCCTGTGCAGAGAGTGAGGGAAGACTAGAGAGTGGTGAGGGGGAGTGCTGAGGAGGAAAGGCAGGCTTGTTTGGGCCTGGAGCGTGCTGCAAGGGAGGAAGTAAGGTGGGGCACTTGGGCGGGGTCGTCCCCCCCAGGGAGAGTCGGCCTGTGTGCTCCCAGTCTCACCCCAGGGCCTGGGCTTTCTCAGCCTGCCAGGGCCAGTCGGGTCCAGCTCCAGGAAGTTCGCTCCACACCAGCTGCCCCCAGCTCGTGTGCTCACCCCACATGCATCTGTTCCTGAGCTCCCTCTGTGTGACGGCTCTGAGGCAGCTGGGAAACCTCAGAGGAGAGAGGTGAGCCAGGTGGGCTGAGGGTACAGTGACTAATTCAGCCAGAGGGCAGTGAAGTGGCTTCCAGAGAAGATGTCCTGAGCCAGGTCTTGAGGGTGAGTCAATGCTTATGCTGCAAAGACTAGAGACTTGAGACAGTCCACGGCCTGTGCAAAACTGCTCAAGACTTCTGGCGGCTGAGGGGAAGGAGGACCCGCACAGGCCTGCCCTCAGCCCTCCCAGTGTTCCCCCCCCCCCACCATCTCCACAATGCCTGGGGCTGCTCTGTGGCCACCTCCCAGGTCTCGCAGCTATAGGCACTCCCCTTTCCAGTCTGGCCTGTCAGACCGATCCTCCTCCTATTGAAACACACCTTCAAAGGCCACCTCTGCCCCACAGCTGCCTGGGCGAGCCCACACACCCCCTTTTCCAACTTCTCCTTGACATGGCTCTCCTTGCAGGTCAGCCCAGCTACCCTCTGCACACAGCTCTGTGTCTGGCCCTTCCTCCTTTCACCTATCATATCCCAGCCGAAATAGTGGCAGCCAACACCCTGAATAGCACTGGCTTCGTCCCAGCAACTGTTCTCAGCGCCGACCTCTCCTAGAGGCCCCAGGCAGTAAGACTTATTATTTTCCATCTTCACAAATAGGCAAACCAAGGCAGGTGTGGTCAGGAAAGTTCTCAGGGTCAACATGGCAGTAAGGCTGTGTCCCTGCCCATGACCTCTGCATCAGGCCACCAGCCCTTCGTTGGCTCCCATTGTGGTGACAGCCTGGACCACATCTGCCACTTCTTGTTGGATGTCCTCTGCTGGATGACAGAGAGGACCCGGGCCTTCCCTACTCTTCATCCATGCATGAGTGCTTGATAAACCTTGTCAACTGATTCACCGTGGAGGTCAGTGCAAGGGTTGAGAGTTGACCTGTGTAGGAGGAGAGGTGCCTGGGCAGAGGATAGGCAGGGCACTGCTGGGCAGGGGAAGTCCCTGCTCTGCCTCATGGCTGTGTATCTCCAACTGCAGTCTGAGCCCCCAGAAGCAGGAACAGGCACTAGAACAGCATTTGAGGAACTGGATGCCTGTACAAGGTCAAGATGCAACAAACACAAGGTTGTTTGCATTTTCAGGAGAGTCTTAGGGTCAAATTGTGTCCTGTTGATCCTGAGAATTCTGGGAATATTCCAGAAACAGCAGGGTTTTGGCCCCAGGCACAAGTGTGCCTTAGGCACCATACAGCCCTCATCAAAACTTGGTCCCTCCCTCATAAAACTCAGGGCAGGGGAAGAAAGATGCAGGCACCTAGAAGGAAGTAAGTATTTGGCATGCCGGATGGTAGTAAAGTGCTGTGGAGACAAATAAAGCCAGATAGAGCAGAGAAGGAATATAAGAAAAAGGGGGCATTTGGGCACAGTCCTGAAGGAATCAAGCTGCTTTCCTGGGGAAGAGCATTCCAGGCAGTGGGCGCATCTAGTACAAAGGCCTTGGAACAGGCAAAAGTCTCTAAGGTTTGGAGAAGAAACAGAGGCCAGTATGGCTGGAGCAGAGGAGTGAGGGTGGGGTAGTAGGAGTTGAAGTCAGCTGAAGGTGCTGTACTGGATGAGCTTTAGTCCTGGGTGACAGAAAGGAGCAGCAGGCCTCCCCTTCCTTTCTCTTCATCCAGCTGTTACAGGGCAGCCCCGATATTGAACGGGTTGCCTGGCTGTGGGTCCTCACCCGCGCGCTTAAAAGGGACTTATTAATACTCCACTACAGGCACACACAAAAGGTTAATAAAAGGTTTATTTACAAGGGAAAGGGAAATAAGGAAAATGTACAACTCAGGGAGAAAATAGGGAAATAAAGTCTTTGATGCGTCCTACCCGATCCGACGACCTGGAAACCCAAAGTCACTCTCAGAGCTGGCTGGACCTGCGAGCTGGCGGAGAGCCAAAATGGGGCATCCCCCCCCCCAAAGCCCATGTGTCTGGCTTTATACCAACCTGGCTGCTTAACCCCACCCTCAGGTCCCAGCCACCTTTCCTTTGGTGGTGATGGGATTTGGAGTTCCCAGTGTCTTTGGCTTTGGCCTGGGGTGGGGGTGGGGTCCACAAAGCCTGTATGGAATTAGCTTTAGGACATCCTGTTCCCCCTAACACATCCATGGTGCTCCATAAACCTTATCCACTGATTCAGGGGCTCAGCCCACCATAGAATCCAGGCTGCGGTGGGTACTTTGACTTTAATACCAAAGTGGAGAGTCTCTGGAAGGTTTTGATAAGAGAAGAAATAATTTGACTTAAAAAATGTTTTATATGTTTAAAATGTCTTTTTAAAATTTTATATTATTTATTTATGCATACAAGAATTGGGGTATAGGTCAGAGGTGCAGGGGGTGAGAGGATTCACCAGAGACAGAGTGGGGAGCAGAGCAGGCAGATCTACTGAAATACACTGCTGAGGGGAGCAGCTGGGGAGTCAGGAAAGGTCTGCTGAGCCATGTGAATAGCTCCTGGCCGGGGATCGAGCTCGTGCTGCAGTGGCTGCCAATAGCTTCTCAGTGCTAAGACTCAATCCCTTGTGCCACTAGGGAGGTCCCACGTTTAAAATGTCTAATAGAAAATTTATTCTGGCTGCTGTGTTGAAAATAGACTATTGAGGGTGGGGGGGGAAGGAGGAAATTGCAGTCATCCTGGTAAGAGGTAGTGGTGGTTTGACTTGGAAAGATGAATGTGTAAGTGATGAGAAGTGGTCAGATTTGAGGTGTACCCCAGCCAATGGGATGCGGGAGAAGGGAAACAAGGAGACCCCCAAGATTTGTGTGACTGGTGGGATGCAGAAGCTCTTTATTGGGCTAAGGCAAGACACAGGTGGAACAGGTGTGGACAGAAATTGTGAGTTTGTTTCTTATCCCAGGCCACCTCTTGCAACACCTCCTGCAAACCTCTTTTGTCAAGTCATGTCTTCTGCTTTGGAATTTGGACAACATGAGCTTCAAATGGCCAAAATCAAGGGGGAATAGGGTTGCATCTACTAGGGAGAGACTAGCTGCTGTTTGTTCGTTCATTCACTTGACAAATGCTTATTAGACGAGTCACGTACCAAGTGCTGTGCTGAGCTCTAGGGCCTGGCAGAGAACATAACTGTCCTGGTGGAGCTTATATTCTAGTGACAAGAAAGGAGCAGATAATGGTAATAAACATGATCCATAAGTAAATTTCGTAGCATGTTAGAAGGTGATGAATGATTTGAAACACGGGAAAAGAGGACGGGCGTGTGTGGGTGGTGTGGGAGGCAGGGCTGCAGAGCAGACAGGGAGGCACGAGGAAAAGCAGGCAACTGTGTAGTGTATGGTCAGAAGGCCTCATCAGGGCACAGCCTCCAGGGAGCAGTGGCAGCCACGTGAGGCCTTAGGGACACTTAAGATCGTGGCCTTCTCCCTGGGCAAGCAGGAGCTGCTGCCAGGGTCTGAGCATTGGAGTGACCAGCTGGCAGGACATTTGCCTCGCTGGAATCAGTGTCTGCCTCTTCTTGCTGGGCAGACTGACAAGGCCAGTAGGGGCCTGTCTTCTTGGGTGATTATTTGCTTCTTGTCTGGAGGTGTCTGTCCTAATGGGCTAAGTGTTTGCAGAGACCACTCCCAGCAGGAGGGTTAGGTGGAGAGATGTCCTGGTCAGGCCCTGTCCCTTGGGGAGTCCACGTGGCCCAAATTAACTCCAATCTGGGAGGGGGGCTGTCTGCCAGAGTGGGGCTGGCTGGGGCTGCAGAGTTGGAAACAAAATAAGCCATCAGCAGGCACAAGGCAGATTGCAGAGCAGCAGCTGGCTGCACTGTGCACTGAGCTGAGTGAAGCTGTTTTCAGAAGTGAGAGGGAAAACATGGGAGCTAGTGAGCTGCTGTGGTGCTCCTCTGCCCAGTCCCGCCCAGGGCTCCCTAGCAGGGAGGGTCCCTGCTGGGGCGAGGCCTGCCTGAGGGCCGCTTCTGGGGGCGTGGGCTGCAGAGCCTGGCGCTGGTGCTTTCACAGCTGTGAGCTCCGACAGGCAGGGCTGTTTTGGAAACTCTCCCCAGACTTGCAAGGCCTGAGCAAAGTGCCACAGCTACGATTTTGGTGAAGCTCCAGAGTATGCCTCTCTTCACCCAAAACTTGTGTGTGTGTGTGTGTGTGTGTGTGTGTGTGTGTGTGTGTGTGTGTCTGCATGCTCTTGTCCCCTTCTAAAAGGATCAGACACCAGGCCAAGATGCCCTGGCCCCCTCCCAGGAGCCAAAGCCCCAGGCCTGACTCTCTCCCGCAGCCCAGCTGCTCTGTGGGCTGTCTAAGCCCTCTGGCGACTGAGGTGCTGAGCAGGTGTTTAAGGGTGAATCAGGGGGAGGAGGCCAGGTGTGCTGAGCAGGGCTGGGCCTTTGCGCCCTAGCCCTTCGGTCACCCTGCACCTGCTACATCTAAAAAGACTGTGCCTCTGTGAACTCCCCGGCTCTGCTCCTTCGTTCCACACTGTCCCCTCCCTAGGGTTGCATGTAGCTTCTGAGGGGCGAGCAGCTCAGCACCCACCTGCCTGCTGCCTCAGCCACAAGCTGGCTCCAGGGCTGCTGGACAGTCCTTGCTGGGGCTCCGCAGTGACTGCCCAAACCAGGTGCAAGGCAAGGACTGGAAGGAGCGCCATGCTGCAGTCACCTGGACTTATACTGGCCACACACCTTCCCTGGGGGGCAGTGGGTCGGGGTCACACACTCAGAGCCCAAAGAAGGTAGGCCGTCTAAGTACAGCCCAAAGAAGGTAGGCAGGCTAGCAAATTAAGTGGCGTATCAACTAACTGCCAGGTGTGCACCTTGAGGGGAGTCTCCAGTCCAACAAAACCGTATAAAGACATTTTTGAGACAATCAGAGAAAGCACAGGTACTGGATTATATAAGGAATTCCTGTAATTTGTTGAGCAAGAGCATGATACTATGATTATGCTTCCTTTTACGTTAGATGCTCTTTATGGGTCAAAAGATACGATGTGTTGTTTACTTTAAAAATCCTCTGGAAGGGAAATGGCATTGGGGAGGGGGGAGATGACAAAAAACAGGGCAGGCAGAATGATGACGACTGAGGTCGGGGTTCACAGTGACGGGGGCGGGGCGGGGCACATCCCAGCCTCTCTTCTCTCATGAGTCTTTAAAACCTCCAAGGCAACACGTTAAAAGAGAAGCAGGGAGGGCCTCCCTGGTGGTGCAAGGGGTTAAGCACCACACTATGAAGCAATCTGCAGCCTCTGCAGCACAAGTTCGATCCCAGGCCGGCCAGGGAGCAACCCACATGGCGCAGCAGACCTCTCCTGACTCGCCCGCTGCTCCCCTCAGCAGTGTATTTCAGTCAATCTGCCTGTTCTGCTCCCCACTCTGTCTTTGGTGAATCCTCTCACCCCCCGCATCTATGGTCTGTACCCCAGCTCTTGTATGCATAAATAAATAAATCTTAAAAAAAAAAAGAGAGAGAAGCAGGGGGCCTGGGGAGAGTGGGCCAGCAGATGTGACCAGCAGCTCAGGGCCGAGAGGGCCTTGCCCAGGGGCAGAGGAGACCCTCTCTGCTGGTCTTGGTTCTTCTAAACCTGAGTGTCCGCTTTCTCCAGGGAAGTGCATTAAGCTCAGTCTAGGGAGATCTTCCTAGTGAGCATCCTTAAAGGAGGATGCACTCCATGCCAGGCCCTGCGTGTGAGTGTGTCCCTCCTGCCCTGGGAAGAGGTATGCGGTTGTCCCACATTATGGACAGGACACTCGCATCCTAAGGAGAGGTGGCCCCAGGCCTTAGAAACTGGCGGCCTTGGTCCAGAGCACATACTCAACCAATATACCAGCCCGGGTGTCCAGGCAAGAGTCCCCACAGGGCCTTAGCACTTGCTGAGTGAGTGACAACCTCCCTTCTCTCCCCAGCTGTTCTCACTCAGCCAGCTCCTCAGCCTCATGAGGCCATCCTCCCTCAGGCAGTGCCTGGGCTTTGAGACCTGGCCATCCTGCCAAGAGCAACAGCCAAAGGCCAGCGCTGAGCTAGACCACAAGGTGAGCACCCAGCACCTGCCTGCCTCCGCCAGGGCCGCAACGACCGCAGCACTGGCCATCCTGTGCATCTCTGGGGCCTTGAAGCCGCCAGTCCTTCTCGAACCCTGGGTGAGGGGTGGTGCTCCCCATCTCTGCACAGCCTGTAATTAGTACCCTTGCCTGGGCCCCTCCTAGGGACACAGCAGGGCACTGTGGGCACAGCCTGCAAGCCCAAGATCCTCCAGCCCTGCTGGTGGGTTTTGCTGCTTCCCGCGTAGCCTGACCTGACTGTTAGCCATGGCCCTCTGTTAGTCCTTGCAGCACAGTTTATGGAGAGGAAGCAGGAGCTGAAATGTTGGTGAGGGCTGCAGAGGTGGAAAGGGAGCTAGAGAAGCACATGCAATGCCCACATGTGAGAGGCATCCTGTGTTCCACGGGCAAAGCTGGCTCCGACCTCCCCTCTTGATTTGCTGTGGTTGTCACTGAGACTGAGTCCTTGGCCTGTCCCCAGTTTTTCCTAACTGACTTTCCAGACATTGTCCAGCTTCCCTGAAAGCTATGCTTCAGCGGGAGTCAGGGCAACAAAGTACCCTAGAGCCTGAAGGTTATGGGGTTTAGAAAGCTGAGGTTGGTGGCTCCTGAGGTGAAGTCAAGCAAGGTTAGCCCCACGGGGGCTTCAGAGTGGGAGTCTCCAACCCGACTCCCTGAAAGGCAGGAGGTGGATCTCAGGGAGCTCCCCTATCCTGGGGGCTCAGCAAGGAAGAACACAGATAGGCATCTTCCTAATTTAGGAAGGTGATAATTCCAGAAGCTCACTCAGAGGTTGGATGTTGATGATCCAGGAGTCCAACCTTTGGGCATTATTCTGCAAATCAGATAAGTGAAATTAATTACTTAATGAACATAAGTGAACCATTAAGAAGATATGATAATCCCCAAGCGTATTCTCCTTTTCTGGAACTCGCAGGGAAGGTTATCTTTCGGTTATGCCTAATATTAGTGCATTTACGAGGCTGCTGCTCCCCGGAGAGCGTGCGCTGTCTATGTGCCCCCATTCTCCTTTGCCAACTATTCCCCAGAAAACTGAAACTGGCTCTGGGGGCTGAGTCCCTGTGTTCTGGGGCCTCCAGACGGAGGCTGTTGGTCTTTCTGAGCAAGGTACAAGTGGGCAGACCTCAGGCCTGAGCTGTGGGAGGAAGAAGGAGAGCGGTGAGAGAGAAAGGAAAAGGCTTGGGTCTAACCCGGCCTAGTGAAGAGGTGACCTCCAGTTGCTTCGGGCCGCTCCTGTGACCGCCTACCGCCAGGCCAGAGGCCTTCCTTTGGCCCCTTGGTTTCAGAGCCTATCTGGTAGCAGAGGTCAGCTCACAATCTGAGAAGAGGGGGAAGAAAGCGGACAGAGGACTATTCTCACCATATCAAGGGTGCTCTGAAGCGTCCCCCTGGTCAGCTGCCATATTGGAAATGACCCATTTGACCTGGAAACTTGGAGGGAGCTTGCAGGTTTCACGCCTGCTCTCATAAGCAGATGAGAAAAAGTGCCCCTTTTAAAATGTAGGCTATGCTGGTCCAGAGATTGCTCCTGCCCAGGGATGGAGGTAGCACAGAGTTGAGAAGGAAAGGGCACTGCAAGAAGGGGAGGAGGTAGCATGGTGGTCTGCACAGAAGAGTGAGGTGCTCTGTGCCCCCAGGCAGCTGCCGTTCTGACTGGGAGGGGTCAGGTGGGGCAGGTGAGTAGGCTCCTGAAGCCCAGCCCCACTCCCACCTCAGCCGACTGACTCCTCATTAGGCCTGAGCACGTTTCATCTTCAAAGATGAGCGGGCCACTCACTCAGCAGCCAAAAAGAGCTCCGGCGTCATCCGCCCTGTTTTACAGGGAGCGGTGGTCTGGGTCCAACCGAGCCTTTCATCCCCAGAGCTCAAAGTCGGCCTTCCTTCTCCTGGAGGTGCAGTGAGGAAACTAAGGCCAGAGTGAGGTTGACTCCAGGCCATTCAGCCTGGAGGAAATGGGAATAGCCCTTTCCCAACCCTGGGGGCTCCCATGCTGGGCTCCATCTCCCTGACTCTGCTCACGCTTGTCTGGGAGATTTCCTGTGAGCACTCCTCCAGCCCTGCAGATAAACTCTGCCAGGCTCTGCCCGCCACCCCCACTCCAGTCTCCCCACCTCCTCTTAGCCTCAGGCCTTGGCCCAGGAAGCTCCCAGCCACCTTCCCCCTCCCTGGCCTGCCTTCCCCTGCAGGCTGAGAGGCTGCTTTCTGATGACCAGGGACCACTCTCCTCATTGATCCCATGGCTTTGCAGTATCCCTTTTATTTGTCTTCTCTGGTAGGCCCCTGTCTCACCATCACACAGCATGTTGGCACTCGATGAATGAATGAACTCCCCTCTAAACTCTCTTCTTCCACCCCATTCTAGCCCTCCACTCTTCTGCCCCCACCCCACCCCCCTTTCTGGAAACCACCTTCCCTCTGCACACCCTCTGGCCAGCCTCTGCATGTTTGCCCCCTTGTCTCATAATGTCCTTGTTTCATTGACACCACAAGGGTTTATAGCCTGGGCTTCTGCTGTTGGAGGTTCTTGACTTCAGAATTACTACCTGCTTATGAAAGAACCAATCACAGCATATTGTTTGTAATTATAAGCTAGTGATAGTCCAGCCTGGGAAAGCTAATCACCAAGTACAACAAAGGAAGCAGCGTGTTCCTACTACAGCACTACACTGTGGGCTGGGGGAGGTTGTACAGACCGGAGGCTGGAGAGGAGGCCCTGGTTCTAGCTGAGACAGTCACAAAGTATCCCAGCAAATCCTGGCAGACCCTGTATGGAATATAAGAATTCTACTTCTTAATGTGATGATTAGAATACTTTTAGCCTCATAAAGCACTTTTGAATAAAGACAAAGGCTGCTCAGGCCTTTGATAGTTATTGGTGGCCCTGTGCTTGCCTGGTTTGAGTGGGGTCTGCAGAGGAGAGGTCAGAGTGATGCTTGGGACTCTGGGACAGGCCCTAGAGAGGCCCTGTTGGCTGAGAGGTGGGAGAGGACATCCTCATGCAGGAGTATGCTCCAAAGTTGGTCTCCAGCTGTTGCCCTTTGACCCTCGGTTACCTATTTCTACAACAGACCAGGGCCTTCCCAGGCATCTGAGCAAGACTGCTTTTTTGGCCACCGTCCAGACAAACATTGCATAACTGCACTCAACTTGCTACTGTCTCCTCAAAGTGACCAGCTCAGCCTTTCAACCCAGAAACAGGGGTTTCCTGAGGCTTTTTATTTCCTTTTAGCTGAGTGGTATAAACTGTATTTGGCCAGATTTTGTCTAATTGCCTCTGTCCAGTCTCAATTTTGGCCCATTCACTTTTACTAAGATTTCTGATTCTTTGGTTTGTTAAATCTGACATCGTGTTCCTATTCACCAGGCTCTTCTGTCCTTCCTTGCTTCTCTCAAGGATTTTGCTATGTGTATGTGATAGGGCAGAAATTCTTAGTTCTGTTTTTTTACCCTAGGAATTTAGAAGATCTATAGAACCAGGCTCTTTTAACCCCAGTTGGGTTAAATTTGGGAACTTTGAGGAAGTATTTTCTCGTTGTGTAGGTAGGAAGCTAAGGTCCAGAAAGGGAAATCCCAGATCAGGGCTGAGTGGAGATGCCAGGGTCCAGTCTCGTCATCTGCTTCCTGGGCACAACCTCCTTGCAGCATGACGACTGTTCCTTCAGAGACAGACAGCCAGGGACTCCTGAGGGTTCTGCATGCAAGATGGTTCTGGGCCATCTAGCTGCAGGAGGCCACAGAACCATGCCAGCTGCAGGTGACTCCAGCTGCTTTTCCATCTACACAGTCCACACGGTCTCTGTGCCTTGTTTATCAGAGAAACATTTGTAAAGAGTCAAGGTTACATGACATGCGTGTGCTCTGAGCTCTAGTAATGCTCAGTTGGCGGGGGCAGCTCTGTCCTGCTGCCTGGCTCTTGATTTCACTCCTGGGGTCTCTGCACATCTTTTTTGAAAGACTTTGTGTGTGTGTGTGTGTGTGTGTGTGGTGTGTTTGTGTGTAGGGGGTGCATCCCTGTATATCTTTGTGGTGTGCCCGTGGGTAATAGGATTGACAAACAAGTTTTACTGCTTTTGCTCCTGCCTCTGCAACTGCAGCTCGCCTGTCGGTGTGTGGGGTGACCCTGCCAAGAACTGCCTTGACTGGCTGGGGTGTGGTTTGGAAGGCTGTGCCGGGAGAGGACAGGGAGGGTGCCGCTGTCCTCTGGCTTGCCTTTGTGTTCTCCTGCTGGCACCCAACACCAACAAGAGGACGCTGCTCTCCCCTATGTCACCCAGAGGGCAGGTGGAGCCGGAGCTCTCTTCCCCACACCGTGTGCCTTCTCACCTGCACCAGTCCACCCTTCCCTTCCTGCCCCTCAATGTGCACTTCGGGGGACGACACCCCACAGAGCCGGCAACACTGATCAGGCTAAATTGGAAGGGCTTGGAGGAAACAGATTGGCTTTGAGGAACGGAAAATAGATATTCAGGACTCCTGAGTTCCTTCCTTGGCTAGTCTGTGCGCTGGTTCCTCCTTACTGTTTCCAAAATGAGGAACAACTTTTGAAATAAACCTCAAGGAGGAAGCTGGGAAACTGATGTGTGCACGGAACACACATCAAGGCCACTTAAGTGGCCTCTGAGCCTATTCAGAATGGTAGTTCCAAGGTCCCCAAGGCCGCCCAGTGCCCAGGCCCAGATCGGCTTTGTTGGGTTCCCAAGAATTCTGACTTCTTGGGAAGGGTAGAAGCAGGACTTGAGGTGACAGAGTTAAGCTGCTGGGAGGGCAGGCTTGGATTCTTCAGGCAGCTTTGGTTCAACTCCCGCCAGCTTAAGGCCTCAGCAGCCTGGACCTGCTCTCTGCCCTGCCCCACCACAGACCTGGCCCTCCTGAGGAGGGGTCCCTCCCTAGGGGAAGCTCCTGCCCCTCCCCCCATGCCAGTGGTGCATCTGCTTCTGACCTGCATCCCACGTTGGTCTCTTCATCCTTCA